TCATTATTATGAGAAAATAAGTCATTATTATGAGAAACTAAGTCATTATTATGAGAAAATAAGCCATTATTATGAGAAACTAAGTCATTATTATGAGAAAATAAGCCATTATTATGAGAAAGTTTCTCATTATTACGAGAAAATAAGTCATTATTACGAGAAAGTTTCTCAATATAACGAGATACTAAGTCATAATTTTGAGAAAGTTTCTCATTATTATGACTTACAGAATTATATTTTTTTATTCAGTGGCGGAAACGGGCTTCCATAGTAAAGTACCAGTTTTACTTGTACTATTTTATTTTTTCAACATTTCTTTTGTGAAGAGTTTTCATTTCTGAGTTCTCAATTTTTTTGAGACATAAGGTTACAAATCAGAAGCTGTAGTATCATAATGAAGCAAAAAAGCCAGATATATCATTATTAATATAATTATTATTATTATTTATTAAGGAAAAAAAGCAGTGATGTGACCCCCCCCAAAAGTAATGATGTTTATAAATTCAAAATTCATCATATTTATAAAAAAGATGAGCAAATAGAACATTTACCTTGAAAAATGTATTAAGTTGTAAAAATGTATTTTAGTTGTAAATAAAACAAAGATTATTGGAGAAAACACGTTCAAGAAGTAGGTTCTAGGTTTTTGTTTGTGTGTGTATATGTATATGTGTGTGTATATTAAAACCCACACATTTGATCTATTTCATAATTTTATCTATGTTTAATCATGTAAAACTGAATTTATGAAATGTATAATGTACTTGTGCTATTTTTTAGTTTGATAATTTGTTATATTTATTTTTATTTATTTATTTAGTCATTTAGCAGACGCTTTTATCCAAAGCGACTTGCAATTATATTCATACATTAAAGGATTAAGTATTAAAATACTTTTGAGGGTCAACATATATAAACTAACTGATCTTTTAATGGCTTATTGATCAAAGTTAATACAAAGCTCTTGCTATGCTTAGCTATTCTAAAGTTTTAGCATCCCATTTAAAGTCAGAAGAGAAGTCAGACACACCTGACAGAGCACGACCAGGTCCTGCTTTTCTTTTGCAATGACTTCATGATTCTGAACTCCAGGTATGGTGGGGGAACGCATTCCAGTCTGTCTCAGTTTCTCAACAACTTCAGCAAACAGTGTGTTTTTGTTGAGCGCAGGTCTCGGGGAGAAGGTCTGTCTGCACTCTGGACAGCTGCACAACTTCTTCTGGTTCTTCTGCTCCCAGTAGCTCTTAATGCACTCCTTACAGTAGTTGTGTCCACAAGGAATGGTCACGGGGTCCCGCAGAAGGTCCATACAGATGGGACAGCTGAACTGCTCCTGGTTGACAAAAATACCAGCTTCTTCTTCTGCCATCTTTTACAGTTAAGGTAAAAGACAGACTGTACAGCAGCTATGTGGAGAGAGTATGGCGTTTGCTTGTGCCTCCCACTATATGAGGTTGTAATGGGAGGAGTCAGCTTGTCGTGTGAGGTTACAGTGTGTGCCACTGTGCTCATGTTTCAGAGGAGTCACAAGCTTAATGAAGTCATTAAATCTTTGTTGTTGGTGTTTTGTAATGAATATTTTCATCTTTACCTCAGAAAAGTGATTCACATCGTCGAGTACACAAGTAAAGCTTCTGGAAAGATCAACCCCAGGGATGATGTTGGCTCTTGGTTGTTCCAGTGCATGTCTGTTCATGTCCACTGGATGAATGCGTGCATAATGACATGTTTCATAAGATGTCTCTGGATTATTTTTTGGCACTTTGGGAGATAAAGAGGGTGTGGATATTTGTAATGTAATGTGCACAAATATAAAGGGTGTGAGTAAATAAATCACGCAACTTTAAAACAAAATAACAAATAGGAATCATCATTGTTAAACACAACTCACAAGCGCTATAAATACATACATTGAAATATATACCAAAATATATAAAAGCAAATTATAAATGGCTAATTAGAAGCAATATATTGGGAATGGATAATGGATGGGCAAAGCGGGGACAGTACATCCAAAATTGTAATATCAAATTCACTTTAAATGACTTGCCAGGCTATCAATGAAATCACAAGCGTCTGCTGTATTTTTCATTGTGATCCAGCCACTGACAGTATTATGTTCTCCACGCTAGAGGTCGCTCTTACCATCACCGGCTGTCTTTCACTCCCAGCGAGTTAAATACAGTAGAATGAAAAGTGAAAAATGGGCGGGGTTTAGTTTTTTAATTTTTTTTATTTTTTTATTGCAAGAAACACATATACAATAAGGCAATACAAGATCGTAAGAAGATCCTCAAGAACAGAGCACCAATCCAAATGAAAGAAAAAAAAAACATGAAGAGAGAAAAGAAAGAAAGAAAAATAATTACACAATAGGGTCTTCTAATAATTTAAATTTCAGCAATAAACCAGACAGTCTTCTTCCAGATTTATATTTTAACAGTCTTACAGATTTACAGTACATCCAAAATTCCTTTTGAAAAACAAAAAACAATGGCTTTGTTTTAAGGCACTTACATTTATGAATATAAAATTTACCCAAAATGAAAATATTATTCAGTACAACTTGAGTATGTACATCTTCCATTATTAGACCAAAAATTATATCATTTTTAGAAAATTGAGAGGACAGCTTCATTGAAACTTTAAGCCACTCAAATGTATCAGACCAAAAGGCTCTACTGAATGAACAGTCAAAGAACAAATGTACAGTCGTTTCAATATCAACATCACAAAAGGTACAATTATTGTGATCAATATTAAATCTATATCTAAGAAACTCTAAAGATGGGTAGATATCATTAAAAATTTTAAAATGTACTTCCTTGGCTTTGGGGGGTATGGGAAAGGAGAGATACATGGTTCTTAACTTAAAAATAGAGCTCTTGGGAAAAAGATAATTCACGTTATTTCGACTAGCTTGATTTGGAAATTTATCTTGGATCAATAAAGTCCTTATTAATTTATTTGGCAGGCTACTCCTAATAAAATCTTGCCCATTTATTATCAAAGAAGGTAAATGAAGAGCTACAGTTACATTGGGCACCGTATTTCTAACCAACAGTACAAAGGCCTTTGGAATACAGTTCAATACTCTATTATATTGCTTGTAATCACAATGGATATTATATTTTTCACAAAAAGTACTGTGATCCATAAAATAACCATCTTTCCCTAGCAGGTGAACAACAGACCAGGGGCGGGGTTTAGTGTCTCAGACGTTTTCTCGTATTGGTCAAGTATTATGTGTCTAAATAATAATTATCATATTTAAAATCTTCACCCTTTTAATATAAATTCATTAGCTATTAAAGTTTATTAGTGTCATTATTCAGTTGCAAATTATTGTCCAGCCCGACGCTGAAGAAGCGCATAAACGCGTGATAGCCGTTACTTTTCTCCGCGATGGCTCGGATGGACCATTCACAGTCGAATGCGAATACTGGATAAGGCTTTTCAAATGTGATTTTATAGATATTACTGTGGCGAGTCAGTCTGCTTGTTTCTCAGATTACTTTATGTAATCTTTTATACTTTATGGTGAACAAATATCATCAATAACTCAAAATGCGTTCGGAGATTTTAATGTGGCCCAATGGAGGGTTGAGCTTTCTGAGCCGCCAACAGCCCCTCAGAGGTGTCTAATATGAAAGTTAAGAGCAACATTTGTCGTCTTAATATGGTTCGTGTCAAAACCGATGGCAGCGCACCCGTCTTCCATTGGCTCATGACAGCAACTGAGAGGATGTAATAAATACATATTTCATCTTCTGCTCTGCTGGACTAAATCTACACAATCTGTGTGACAGGAGTCCGCACAACACACGCAGGTAACTGTTACTTTCCTTTCATTCTGTTAGATAGCTGTGCGTTTACAGTCATGTGGCAAAGCATCAGCATGTGTTGCACATTTACTGCTGCTTTGTTGTCCACGTTTGACCTATCAAGTGGTTTTCAAATTATAAATGAGTTAACGTTAATAGACTTATTTGATAGCAGTAAACTATTGTGCACTTGAACTTGCGAAGTTAGCGTCTCTGCAGAACTGTGGTCATTTTACAAGGTCCTTCAAGGTCCACATATATTTATTAAAGTTTTACTTTTATTTGCACCATCCCAGTTCTGTCCTCTTTTCATGTTCCTGTGACCCTGCAATAGTGCCACGAGTCTCGTGCATACACACATACAGGTGCATCTCAATAAATTAGAATGTCGTGGA